AGAGAGAGAGAGAGAGAGAGAGAGAGAGAGAGAGAGAGAGAGAGAGAGAGAGACAGACAGACAGAGACAGGCAGCGAGACAGACAGCGAAGACAGGCAGAGAGACAGACAGCGAAGAAACATGCTATATTCACTTCCTTCGCTGTCTGTCTCTCTGCCGGTCTCTCTCTCTCTCTCTCTCTCTCTCTCTCTCTCCCTCCCTCTCTCTCTCTCTCTCTCTCTCTCTCTCGCTCGCTCGCTCGCTCGCTCGGTCGCTCTCTCGGTATCTCGCTCTCTCTCTCTCTCTCGCTCGCTCGCTCGGTATCCCGCTATCTCCGAAAACCGTGTTCTCTGTCCATCGCACCATGCTCGGACCTCGCGCCCTGTCCTCTCTGATGTGCGCGCCATCCTACTATCCCCGTCTTTCAGAAACGTCCTTCCTGCCCGTGCCCTCCGAACATTGCCATTATGATACGAAAGTGAGAGGCAAGGATATGAGCTGCGCAAGTAGACGAGGAGTGGGGTAGTACGTAGTTCTATAAAACCAAGCTTTTTCACTCTTCGTTGAGTATCACAAGCTCCCCTGATGATGGCCATGGGGCGACATGGACGAGACATTTAGGAAGATTTCGGCTCGTAATACTTCGTGACGATCAGGTTTTTGTTTTCGGAGTATTACAATCTTCTTCTTTTTTTTTTTTCTTTTTTTTTTTGCGGTACGTCTACGTGTTTCTTATTTCCTTCGTCTCTAATTTTCCTTGTATCTGTCTTACCGCATGTCTGGTGGTGATTTTTTTAATTTTTTATCTTTCTCTGCTCACAAGTTGGGACTTCGGTGCAGTTTTCGTGCTCACAGTTCGGACTAACGTTTCTTACTCTCCATCATGAGTAACTGATCTGCATCATCAGCCACTTGCATGTCAGATTCATCCCATACAACCAGCCTATCACAAATGCGTTTTTTTTTTTTTAATCTTTTTTTTTTTTTTTTTTTTTTTTATATTACAGCGTGAGGGCAGGGAGATATCACTATTGAGCTGACCGGCCCCAGGGAATTCAGAAATATGTCGTTTTACTCATCATGTTCCGTCGTCTTGATTCGAACTCGGATCCGTATTTCAAGTTTCAACGGTTCATGGATTAGGTTTATGCACTGAGCTAGTACAAGCTTTTGCTCATCATGCATGCATTCTAGCGCAGAACAAAGAGATCAAACCTGATCCTAACACTTGTTGGCCTCACAGTGGACCGTATTGATTACTACGCTCTCTACACTGCATCTCTCTCTCTCTCTCTCTCTCTCTCTCTCTCTCTCTCTCTCTCTCTCTAGTCTTCTCCTTATCATTTGACGTGCTGATTCGTATCTGCTTTCGAATGATGTGCTGCGATGAATGCATGGGTGCGGCCGGCGGTCAATTGGTGCGTGTGTAAGTGAGTTTTTTTTTGTTTTTTTGTTTTTTTGTTTTTTTTGTTTTAATCCAGCTCCTACAGGATATTTCAAATCACGGACGGAGGCCGTCTTCGCTTGTCTAGCACAGCGTTCGAATGAGCAAAGTGCTGAAGGGAAAAAAAAAGTAAAAAAAAAAAGAAAAAAGAAAAACAAAGTGGTCAGCGACTTCGTGCTCAGAGGAACAAAAACAAAAAAAGGGGAAACTACGTGGGGGTCACAATAATGAGTTATAAATTATAATTGCAATATGGGCCAAGATGCAGTCTCGAATTGAAGTTCGGGCAATGTATACAACCCAGCTTTCTGGCCAGGTAGGGTGCCCGAAGTGCAATTGCAAACTGTTCCTTGCCCCATAGTGCGGTAATAAGTCGTTTTTGTGACTCTACTGAAGTTAACCCCCCCCCCCCCTCTCCTCTTCCCCCCCAAAAAACAAAAAAAAGAGAAAACTAGTTTGGTGCAGTCAGGATTTGAGTTTGAAAATGCACTTGTTGAGGTGAAGGGCCCTAAGAATTTGAGGCTTTGAGCTATTCATTGCAGGTTGTGATGGTGGGGTGGTTTTTGCTACGGTTGGGTTCAGCCTGGCCGGTGAGTCTAGCTCATCCTTGAGGGCCATAGCTTTTCACGTGGGGGACGCAGGGCCTATTTCCCAGCGCAGCCAGCTTGTACTGGAGAGACTGTTAACAAAAAAAAAAAAAAAAAAAAAAAAAAAAAAAAAGACTGAAACTGTCGAATGTATACGAGTTACGTTTCAGGACCTATAGGGTTACGTGGGGAGGGTGGGGGTGTGTTATGTTCTGTGGAATCCGGGAAGTGCATTTTCAAACTGTTTTCGTGACTCGGCCGTAGTCGCCCATCAGAAAAAAAAGATAGAGAGAAAAGGAGCGGTCCCGACTAACCAACGTTGCATGCCGTCCGTTCCAGGTACAGAAGCGTTATGCTTTCGAGGGGCCAGCTGTAACGGTAAGTGAGGCAAACGGACGCAAACGGAGAATAACAGTGGCTAGTGGATGCTAGCCGTGGCCAAAGCGGCAATACAAGAAGAGGACGGACAAAACCAGAATCGTTATGTTTTCGGGCGGGGGGCAGTATCGGTAAGGGAGGCAAACGGAGGCAAACGGAGCCTAACGGAGAGTAACAGAGGCTAGCGGAGGCTAGCGGAGGACAAACGCAGAATACAAAAGAGCAAGGACGGACAAAAACAAACACGTGTTGTTCCACTTGATGTCCATCCGATGGGTCGTATTATTTCATCAAATTTTCTTTTATGCTAAATTAAGGGGCTAAAATATTTATAAAAAAAACACCTTTCTCAGTCCTTTTTTTTTGTTTTTTTTTACTAAGATCAACTGTAGTATCCCTTCCGAGCAGTTCAATTTAAAAAAAGAAAAGAAAGAACAAAAATTTTCTCAGACTTCTGGCAAAAGAAAAAAAGGAAAAAAAGACACAAGTGTTGGAGTGTCTTCTGGTTTCTATCCGATCCCTGCTCCATCAGACCCAAAAAAAAAGAAGAAAAAAAAAAAGTCATGTCCATGGTCAGCTCACACGGATGTGGGTGGAAGGCCAGTATCTTCCTGATTGCCGCTATGATATTCCTGCTGGCCACGTGGCAGTCTTGCACTGCTGCACGCGTTCTCAATCAGAACACCCCTCACACATTAGAGGACCACCACGTGGCAGTTGCCCCCGGCAGGCTTTTGCAGCAATGCGTCTCCAATGTAGACTGCCACTGGCGCTGCATGTGTTACAATGGCCGTTGCTTAGAATATGTATGCCGTCAGTTCGATTTCCAACGGCCCCAAAGCTATTTCAAACGCTGCTAATTTCAGGTAAAATGGATAGAGTCTAAGGGCAATTTACCTTCAATGGAAGTACTAGATGCAAGTGGGGGATATTAAACCCACAGGAAGTGCGGCGGGGKGGTCTGTTTGGGGAAAAGGGGGGAGGAAATCGAAACCAGTGAGGCCCACGAAGCTGGTCGAAGCCTGCGACGACACCCTGCTGCACGGCTGGTTAAAAAAAAAAAACACAAAAAAAAAAGACTCCCGAGGGGGCGGGCGATCGTTCGTCCTCGATCTGGCATGCTATGAACTGTAGAGTGGAGATGATATCGGAGACTGAGCGCAGATGGAGCGGACATTGAGCGGAGATGGAGCGGGGGAGGAGCGGAGATGGACCTCAGTCCGAGGGTGGGTGTAGCAACGTGGACAATTGGAGAACCAAGCTGAGAGCAGAGCAGGGAGCCGCTCCTGGATGGCTCTTTGAAATTGAAATTGGGTGCAGCAGACCTGGATCACCTGGCTTGTGGCAGGCCTCGAAAGCCGAAGATAGACGTGCCCACTGCACCGGCTCACAAAAAAAAAGAGTGCTGCAGGCGCAAGATGCTGGTCGTGGATGACCGGATTCAGATGACTCTGCTGAATAGCCCTCTCAGGGCGAGAACTGCAATGCTGATTCCGAATGAGATCATCATCTTCAAGTGTGTGTGTGTGTGTGTGTGTGTCACAGTGCGTGTGTGCGTGTGTGCGTGTGTGCGTGTGTGCGTGTGTGTGTGTGAAAGTCTGTGTGTGTGTGTGTTTGTGTGTGTGTGTGTGTGTGTGTGTGTGTGTGTGTGGGAAATAAGATCAGATGCTAGCTCCCTGCGCCTATTGGCGCTCCCTACAGCCTTCCATGCCTCCTTCTACTGCCCTCCCACCGAAGGAAAAGGGGAAATTAACCGAGTGCCCAGGTAACTAACTAGGTTCTATTACCCATTTGTCCAAAACCACCTTGTTATCCACTACCCTTGCCAGCTTTTCACCCTGGGCCCAGGTCTCCAAGAACCAAGACAGGCCTCAGCGTTGTCTGGGGCCGGAGACGTTCCTCCGCCAGTCACTCAGAATAACCAGTCTGATCTGTGTCTTCACTGAGGTCTTGATTGTAGCATCCGACAGAAAGCGACCTTCAAAGGCGCACTTGTTCCTTACTTCCCAGATGACCGTGAAGACACAGGCTCTCAGTGCCTGGGCGACGTAGCCCCAGCCTTTATGTAGTGGCAGTCCTTCCGGGACTCCCCTGAGCAGGATCCAGTGGTCATCCAGAGGAACGCTGGGCCACTGATGCGTTCCCACTGGTTTCTCCACCAATCCCAAATGCAAGCAGACAATGGGCACGAGAGCCAGAGGTGCCAGTGGATTTGAATACCCATTTGGATCTGCACCAGACAGGTGAGGTCTTCATTCCTCTTTCCGACAACCACACTGCAGATGGGGTAGCTAACAGCGTAAGTAGCCACAGCAAGGCTGCTGCTCTTGGTACAGGTGCCGAGTGGAGCTGTTCCCAGCAGCGAGTGATGGACTGCACAATGTCATCCTCCTCGAAGGTCGTAACTTGGGACCACCTACTGAGTGCCACCATTTGAGGGGTTCTGTTGGGCTGCATGAGGTTGTATCCCATAGTCGAAGTGTAGTCTGTCAACCAATTGGCCTGAGAGCCGGTGTGGATACACCTCCATGACCACATGTGTGGGTCCAACTTCAGAGTTCGAACTGGCTTGCCGTTAGCCCAGATAGAATATGACCAATTGCCCTCCTCGTCGCAGCGTTCTCTAACCCTCACCTGCACTAAGTTGCCCCGTGGTCTGTTGCCTTGGTTCTGAGTTTCTTCCTCTTCAATCAGTTGCAGCTGTGAAGATCCTCCATGCAACGATGACCATGCCTCGAAGGATCTGATTCCTTTCTCATCCACGTTCAAAAGTTTCCAGAACACCTCTGGTTGCTCTTCTGAACTCTCGGAGTTCTCTTAGTCCTTCCTGAACCAAGTGCCTGGGGGGGCCACGCCTTGTGGGCTGAGGATATGGTGCTAGGTCTGTGGTATGGCAGCCAGTAGCTGGGCAAATCTGGAACCGACCTGCCTGAGTCTTCCAAGTTTATCCTCCACTTCTGAAAGGGAACACCATTGTCCTGAGAAAGCGTTCCAAAGATCTGCCACGCGAAGGACACCCCTCTTGATCCAGGCTCGGCCGAAGGCTCCCTTCGCACAGCCGGCTGAGAAGGGTCTTCCGTTTGGTGCGATGATTGCTGGATTGTCGAATAGTGGCTGTGAAAGAACTTCGTCCTTTGTGGTGGGGGTAGTCCATATGCGGGGGGCCATTTTCCTCCATGCTTGGAGGACTCCTTTCCAAAATTCAGATTTAACTTGCCGCCTCAAAAAGGAATCCAGCATACAGCACGTCCATACATCGCTGACTCTTGGCAGTTTCCAATCCTCTGCCAGAAGCTGTTCCGCCAATAGCACCCAATGGTCCTCTGATTCGTTGTTGACCGCTCTGGTGACCCATTTTGCCAGTAACGCGTTGTTTTGTCGACCGGGATCCAGCATGCCCAGTCCACCCTCAGTGCGGTCGCAACAAAGGAGTTCCCATGCAATCTTCAAGATGAAACCTGCATCAGCCTCCCCGTGTGGTTTCCAGATTAATCTGGTTGCTGCTCTGCGAGCCACTTTCAGCAGCTGCTTGCCTAACGTTCTGACCATTCCCACGAACCATAACATCGAGAACAAAGCCACACTTGTGACTAGTGCTCTTCCGAACAAGGACAGGTGTTGGGATGACCCCCATATTGCGATTCTGCGCACGATTCTCTGCTGGAGCAAATCATTTTGGGCATCCGCGCACTTACTAAGCGCAATCTGGACACCCAAGTACCGTTCTGCGTTGCCACCGTCCACTTGCTTCATTCCCCATTCCACCGTAATCGCGTACCTATCCGGTAAGAAAAATACAGATTTATTCCAATTCACGACTGCTTCCGACAGACCCGCGTATTCCGTCAAACACGATTTAAGTGCACTAAGAGATTGAACTGAGTTTTCAGAGATGGCCATAAGGTCGTCAGCCAGTGCCTTGACGCGGCATTCGCGGTGTTGGATTGGCAGGCCTCTGATGTGAGGGTGCACTCTAATGTTTGACATTAAAACTTCTAGCTGCAACACAAAAAGCAGGGGTGCCAGCGGGCAACCCTGTCTCAGCGATCGAGAGAGAGCGAAAGGTGCAGAGATGTGGCCATTGATCGAGACTGAGGCTGTTGAGAGGGTGTACAGTACCCGGACCCATCTGCGGAAATTGGGTCCAAAGTTCAGTTTCCTCAACGTGGTCAGAACATAGGTCCAGTTCACTCGATCGTAGGTCTTTTCCAGATCCAGTAACAGAACTGCAACGTCAAGGTTCTCCTGTTGTACCTGTTCCAACACCTCGATCGCCGTTACTATGTTATCGAAAATAGATCTCCCCTGAACGAACGCTGCCTGATCCCTGTCTACCAGCACCGGGAGGTACCGTCTTGCAAGCAGCTTAGCTATAATTTTGTACGACACGTTCAGCAGTGAAATAGGCCTCCAGTTTCTAACGTTGGCCTTGTCTCCCTTCTTACACATCACCGTGATGATCCCATGTGCCATACCCCGAGAAAGGCGACCTCCTGAGAGAGCTTCGTTAAAGATTCCAACTAGGTGAGGGATGAGAACGTCACTATGTTGTTGGTAAACCTCAACTGGTAGGCCATCCCTGCCCGGAGCCTTACCTTTTGCCATATGCTTTACAGTTTCTGACACCTCTTCTGACGAGACAAGTCTCTCGAGGTCGAGTCTGCCTGCGTGAGTGAGTTTTACTGTGGTATTGTCCCAGTGTTCTGATCCCTCTGCCAGATTTGTGTCTGGGTCCTCCTCCGGTCCTTGTGAGATGAGAATATCTTTGAAGTAGAGCACAGCGTACTTACACATGGCTTCTGTGGTGTCCGCCTTCCTTGCCTCGGGGACAAATGGGTGGTGCAGCGATTTCATGGCCTGGCAGACTCTCCTCGGTAAAAGGCGTTGGAAGGATTCTTTGGTCATACGATCGTACACAGCTATACCTTTTACCGTGAGTCTTTCCGCCCAGTCGTCTGATTTGTTCTACTGAAGTTCTTTCCACTCGTTGATTAGTCTGACTCGCTCGGTGGCCCATACAGCCGCAGAGATTGGGTGCAACTGCATTCGGTTCTCGACCCATTCTATGTCCTCGATGATCTTCCGCTCCTCGTTCATATCTTTTGCAGCTAAGATTCTAGAGAAAATGCTAAGAAAATTGGAGGCAATTGAGGTGCCTACGTCCCACCAATCCCCTACAGAGGAAAAAAGTCCTTGGGCCTGCGGTCACTGACTGAAGAACCTGTTAATCCAATCTGAGAGCCTTGAGTCTCTAAGGTGTTGAGTGTTCAAGGGAAAGAACCCCTTCCCCCTATTGATGACTTCTGCTAATTGGAACGTCACTTTTAACGGGAGATGATCTGACGTCGGATAGTTACCACTTCAATGTTTACCATGGCCTCCCACCAAGCTGCGCTCGTTAGGATGTAGTCCAACCTCCTGAAAACACATGCAGAGCGCCCTTCGGCTGCAGACGAGCACCATGTGAATCCTGGCGACGTGGGGTGCATGATTCTGAATGCATCACATACTTCAAGTTCAAGCATGTAATCTGTGAGTGCGAGTACGTCCGTCGGGGCTGATGTGTGGGTGTGTAAGTCGTCCAGGGAGCAGTTCCAGTCCCCTGTTATCAGAATGTTGTCCACGTTCGGGGTATGGGAGATCAGATCCTCGAAAAACACCCGATGGTCCGATCTGTCAACAGGGGCGTATACAGTCATGATTGCCCACTCGCTGCCATTTGTGGACAACTTCAACCATGCCCAACGACCCCACATATCTGACCCGTGGTCCAGAATCACTACCGATAGGTCTCTATGTAATAGAATACCCACTCCCCCCCTTGTCCCGACGGCCGGGGACCAGATCTGTGGACCGTCCCACCAGGTACCCAGATTCTATATCTTTTCCTCATTCAGTTTACTTTCCTGGATACAGATGATTTGCGCCTTGTGTTTGTGGATCCATGACTTCAGGCGGGCTCTTTTCCCTGTCTTCGAAGTATCCCCCAATCCCCTGAGATTCCAGGAGGCAACAACTAGTTTATTCATCTGTCCTGATCTCCTCCCTTCCTGATTGGATGTGAGGCGGGGTCGAGCTAATTCGTTCGAATGAGAGGTTCTCGATCCGGTTCTTATGGATGAGGCTGTAGCTGTGTTAGCGGGTCATTTTTGAGCCAGGAGGTTCTTCAGGTAAATAGATTCCAGTCGTTTGCTCCTTGGCAGTTTCTCGTTTAGTCTTGCTAGGAACTCAGCGTCTGATACCCCCTACACCCACAACTGACTGAGAAGATCTCTATCTTCTTCTATGAAGGCGGACAGCGGGATGAGCCTTAGTCCTTCTGACATCAGTGTGGGCAGCCTGTCAGGAGGGATGCATGCATCTAATACCGGGGTGAAAAGTTTGAGGTTCCTATTCTGCAAATCCAGATAGAATCTGGCACTGTCATGTCTGGCACAAGTCTGATCAGAAATCAATTAACAAACAGCTCTCTCGCAGCAAGGAGGATCCCTTGAGGAGTGACTGGCTCTTCTACCGGTCTGGCTGGGAAGGTAACTTTCCCATCTTCCGGTTGCCATGCAACGACCTGAATGGTGTTTTCAGACAGCGTGCAAATGAGCGGTAGAAGCCATTTTTCCAGGCTTGTTGCCTGTCCTTGAGATGATCTTACCATTCGCCTACTTCGGGATGTTTTGGAGCTCGACATAGGCAAGGTTCATCCGTCCCTGGCATGACCGGAGGCTGGCGAGCTTGCTGCACTACCAAATGAGGCCCGTGAATCTTCTCGCCTCAGCTCTACTGCCTGCCGACTTCCTGTGGCTGGCTCCTGCCTACTGGAGGATGCACCGTTTATGGCTGTCCTGGCCATTTTTAAGTGCGATTGTCCTCTCGAGCTTCTCGAGAAAGGGACTAATGCCGAGGAGGAGGTTCCTTCCTCTGCAAGCCTGGAGCCTACCGCTGGGTGTTTACTGCTTGCTGGCAATTCTGAGTGCCGATATCCGTACGAAGGCTGACCTCTCCTCAGTGGGGGTTCAGTGCCGGGGGGTGGTGGTTCGTCCTCTTGAAACAGTGTTGCCGCCTGCAGCAGTCCTGCCCATTGTTGATTTGGGAGGGGGTAGCGACCCTCAGTTTGAGGATGACCGGGCATATGAGACCCCAAGCCAGGGACTTGGAGGGAATCTCCAGGTGGGTGTGCATCAGCAACGGGACCTGTTCTTCGCTCAACTCCTGGTGAGAAGATCGGGTTGGATCTCGTGCCCATTCTTTGTCCTGATTCTGCTGGTGGGGGTGGAGAGTGATTCGAGCCGCCACTTCGAGAGGTTCTGTGTCAACCCGCCGAGGGTTGGAGCTCACCCAGGTAACGGGGTGAGCACGACTTTGTCTCGATCTTCCTCTACGTGGCTCGTTCTGAATCGACAAGTTTTCCAACAGGTCATCTACCTCCCTGTCCACCTCCTGAATACCACGCCTGTTCATGGGGCGGGTGTTCCTCCTAGTGCACTCATCCACAGTGTGGTTGTACCATCTACAGTTCCTGCAGTAGGGTGTAGAGGATGAGACTAACTTGACTTCTATCATGTCCCCCTGTTTTGTTCTCACCCATATCCGATCAACTAATCTCGACCGGTAGTTGGCATCGATCTCACACTTGATGTTGGCCAATCTCGGGTCCGTACCGAAACAATCCGGCAGGAAGTCACGAGTGACTGGGCCTATTACGTACGCCAAGGCCGATTTGAAATACACGTAGGCATCGAGGGGTACTTGCAGCCCCATTACCCAGAAAGTTTTTTCTTCTTCCGCCCTACGGAATTCCTTCCAATCCGATTTCGTCATCCAGGGTTTCATCTCAAAGTGGTAACTTCTCCCTCTAAGTTGAACCACGCCTTCGCCCTGACTCACCATCCATTCAGCTACTACCTTGTCCTTCGAAACATAGGAAATCATATTGGGACCTTCGAACTTAACCCGACCTCTATTGACAGGAGGATCGAAGATGTCATCCCTCCGCCACCTGTTCTCGTAAGCTCGTACCAGATCCTCCTTTACTTTCCTCGGCAGGTGCCTCGCTGCTTCTCTAAATAGGATTACCACCGTTCTTTCCATCAACCATTGGATTTTGATCTCGTCGAAGTCCCCATCTACAGTCACCACGGCTTCATTACCATCGATCGAGACATCCTCAAAGGGAATCTCATCGGGCATAATGCCCTCATCGTAACACATCGACATCAAAAGTTTGACCCTTTCCTCAAAGGAATCATCCTGGGGTATCTGAGCGGACCGAGCCCCTGGGGAGGATCACCCTCCCACTGAGGCGTGATCTTCCATTTCCAGTTCCACCGCTTCTCCCGCCATAACCGGCGGTAATCCCTATTGTATACTGGTCCGTGAAAGTCTGTGCCCCTAGCTCGGGATTCGTCGCTCCGACTTGGGTTTCCGTATCCCACTGCTCTTCCACGTGGCTGGGCGCTGGTAACGGAGGTGGGACTGAACGGTGGTGCGATTGTATAGGGTATAGGGTAGCCTTCGACGGCGCTGTTTTGCGCTCGCGAACCCGCGTCGCCGGCCTGGCCCAGCCCAACACTGCGGCCGACCGGCCCGTCGAGTGGTACTGTGCCGCCATGACACGCAGTTACCACGGTGAAAGCGGCTCGCTAGGGATTCACCCATAGCGACGTGAATCTCTCACGGCATGCCCCTTCTTCACCTGGCGGCCATAGCCCCGCCTCGGGACAGCCATCACCACAGTAAGACATTCACAGTTGAGTGCGAACTGAGGTTACCAGCGAGACCTACTCCGGAGAGCTGACGCCCACGCCTGACATTACCGTCCAACATCTGCACGGGGAGCAAGGTAAGGACACCAAGATTCCCATCTGGCTGATGAGAATTCACTGCGTAGTTTTCACTGCCGAACAGGAAGAGCCGCCTTCATCGGGGTAACGATCATTCTGTATGTTATGGTCAGATCGAGGCCGCTGTCGGACGGTAAAGGTCTGTACGATGCTAAGCATCCTGGGCATCTAGAACGGTAGATCGTGAAGAGGGGAAGGAAGGCCAGATTCTCGACTGTGGCCGAACTCTACGCTTGCTCGGCACTGGAGTGGATTCTGCTTGTAACTTTTCTCCCTGTAGTCGACAAGTTGCACGCCCCCCACCCACACGAAGTAAGATAGATGGCGAAGATCGCACCGGGTGGAATCGCTAGACCTGGTAGTTGGTTTCTAGTGTAGCAGTCCGCTGTGCACTACTCCCACCTGGATATGCAACTCACCAACCTTGTCCTTTGAATCGTTGTTTGTCGGAACAATGCGAGCGGAGGCAGTCCTCTCCTCTGGGCAATGTCGCGAAGAGATCAGACTCAACAAGCAAAACAGAGCGCGATCTCTTATAAGACGGAGCCCGCTACCCTATACCCTTTTTGTTTTTCTCTTTTTTACCTTCCTTTCTTTTCTTCTTTTTTTCTTTTTTTTTCCCCTTTCTTTTTTGTTTTTTCTTACAATGTCAAAAACTCTGGTCTGTCCGAAAAGGAGGAGCGCCGAGATGCAGTTTGTACCTTCTCTACGCCCGGGGCCAAGTCCCACTAGCAGCGTTGAGTTTCCTCAACGCCTGAATCTAGACGTTTTTATTCTGGGGGGCGACAGTCCGTTACTTATTACGGGCAAGCATGAATCATAAAAAGAGAAGTAGAAACGCTGGGAAAAGTAAGAGAAGAGATAAACCTTACCCTCGCTGCACAAGGAGCCACAGGAGGGGAGGCTGCTAGGTGAGTCATTCTCCTCAAAGCCCCTCATTCTGGAATCTGGGGCGCCCTCTGCTGGCCAGAGAACTCCCATATCGTACCCAGACACTCACCAGAGGATTCCTGGGGACTCTGTGGGGAGGAGGGGTGCACGGGGGTGGCCCGGCTAGCAGCCTCCTTGGCCCACACTCAGCCTTTCAGTCTTGTTCCTGCTGTCCCTCTTAGTCTGCCCTCTGCACATATTCCCAAATCCCGTACTTACTCTCTGTCTTGGACAGGGCAAACAGATGCACCTCTACCGGATGTAAGACCGGTGCTAGACTGGGCAAACAGATGCAGCTGAACCGAAGCCTACTTGCATCATCCACGATTACAGGCCAAAGTTGGGATACCCATTGAACTCCATGACACTGTCCCTCAAGACACATGGACCCACCACGCCATTGTCGAAAATGCGATTTTAGATAGTTTCTCTTCGCCACACAGGCTGTCGAAGTCGGAGACGGGAAGAAAATAAAAATTCACAAGTAATTTGTCAGAGAATGCTTCTGGACACCTCCTGTCTGTCGAAAGTTGTTGTATCCCCCTTCAGCCTCCTGCTACTCCGATGCTTTCGACAGTCCTCGACTGCGCCCTAGACTTCTCTTCGGAATTTGGTGAGTGGGGGTAAGGTCGGGATGGGCTAGTGCTTGTCGTACCCTCAGGCCGTGTTCCTCTTTTTCCATCTTGCATTCGCAACTTCGCAAGTGCGTCCACTTTACAGTGCTGTGTGGCTAAAAGGGGGCAAACTGTCGAAGGGAGGCTGTCGAATTTATTCTGACAGCCATCGAATTCTTTTGCCTTTCGACAATGGCCCCTGGATTTAACCGAGTCCTGGATCTACTGCGACTCATTTTTTGTTTTTGTTTTTCTTTTTTTCTCTGACCGATTGGTTCCTTCTTCAGCGTCTTTCCTGTAGAAGGATGTCGTGTGTGAGACGGCTAGAAATCCCTAACCAATGGGCCAAGCTCAAATAGTACACCCATGAACTGCTGCAATGCAGACCCAGGTTCAGATCCAGATAGCAATGAAATAGTCCTCAATTATACCAGGGGCCGTTTAGTTCAATGATGATATCTCAAGGCCGTGGGAAAAGTTATAAAGCCCCTGAGCAAAAATGGTGGGAAATTGTTTTACCTGCCCAACCAGGGTGCAAAAATGACGTCGAAAAGTCTTTTAGGGGCCTGCCCGGCACTGCTGTACTTTTTGCCCCATTGGGCGCCAGATGAATACAAAGATTTCCTTTTCTTTAGGGGAAACTAGGCCGGAGTCACAAAACGAGTTATAATTGCAGTATGGGCAAAGCTACAGTTTGCAATTGCAGTTCGGGTAATGTACACAACCCAGCTTTCTGGGCATGTAGGGTGCCCCAACTGCAATTGCAAACTGTATCTTGGCCCATGCTGCAAAGCCAACTGCACCTGTGACCGATTTGAATTTTCGAATCCGCAGAAATAACTGCACACTCCAGGTCCGCACGAAGAGCAGTTACAAACTGCAGAAAAAAACAAGAACTCATGCTTCCTATTGGCTGCCAGTTGAACAATTGGCAAAAATGGGAGGCATTTTCCCAAGGGCTGGGGTGAGAGCAGGTACCAGGACTGTCCTGAGGCTCCCTTTTTTTCTTTTTTTTTGGAAAAGGACCCGTGAAGGGGCAGGGTTGAAAAATGACTCGCAAAAAAAAAAAAAAAAAAAAAAAAAAAAAAAAAAAAAAAGCACAGGGACCACTTTTTGCCGTAGCCCAGTCACGTGCGTTGCCTAGACATCTCGACCGATGCCCAGCCACGGGCGTGTGTAAGAGAGCACAGTCAGGGTAGAGTCTGGCACATGCAAAACACATAGTCGGTGTTACGCGGCAAGCAATATGTGAAAGAAATCTCAAAATTTACTCCAGAAGATTCTGAGAAGAACATAGAGATAGCTTCGAGTAATCACGCCATAGAAGCTATGGCAAACGTCCCCTCCTGCCATCAGATCAGAGTTCCTCCCGGAGAGGATAGACCCCTGGCTTTCCCCGACGAGTTTCTGTCACCTGTCACCACCAGCCGTGACTTCATCAGGGGATTTCTAGATGACTAATGAGTCCTATGCTAGGCTTATTTATAATTAGGCAGTTCAGTTTCACTTCCAGTTCATGCTAGGTCCTCTGTCTATTCCCTTATTCTGGTCCTTCCCATTCCTTCAGGAACCTTCCTCATTTTCTGGCGCCAGTCTAGCCACCGCTTTCTTCTGTCGTATCGTCGAGAATGAGTGGAAGTCCTGGAAAGTCCAGAAGGTAAACTCCTCCTTGCTCCATATCCTATGAAACTCCCACGGAGGCGGTGATGGGCGGCCGCGCCACTTCATGGCCCCGTGGCAGCCAGTGAGGGGGGGGCCGGGGCAGGGTTCTCGGAAGTGGATTGGGTTTGCGCAAACCCCTCCCCACCCCCTCAAAGAAAATTAAAAAAAAAACAATTTCCGTGGGGTTGTTTCGTGGTGAGAGATGAAAAAAAAAAAAAACTG